ATGGGGATGGCAGGATTTACTATTATGTCAAGTAGACACAGTAAAGACAAAGAGACCGCTTTTCCCTGCATAGTTATCAGCAACTTATTTGTAAAAAAAAGTTTTTTTATTAATTGGTAGAACATTCTTGGTCAGGTTAAGACCAGCAAAACAAAACTGTTCTCTGGTCCTAGCAGATGGGTGTTGCTTGGGGCACCCATTGTGTGCCTACAGGCTGTAGTGCTGGAGATCCATCTCTGGCTACATGTGAGATTTTAACTACTTGTAAAAGGTTCTGACAATACCACCATGGAGGAGGAGGGAGATTTCAGATGTTGACTTGGGCCTGTTCCCGGAAATATCCAAACTAGAAGCAAAAGTTAACCAGCAGGTGCTTGGACCCAGAGGTCATAGTGAACATAAGGCCCCCTTCACACATGTGCTGAAAGTGGACTTTCAGCATATGTTCCTACGCCAGACATTGCCTCCCCTCAGATTGAATTTGTTTTTTTTAAATGTTCTCCAGATGGGGGACCAGCCAAAGGACAAACAGAAAGAATCCTGCTAGACGTCACCCAGGCAATGGATGCTTAACATCCAGTGCATGTGCGAACAAGGATTATAATGGTCTTAGATTTCTTTTCTGACAAATTCCGAAACCATCCAAATATATATTCTTAATACACATAGGGGTTGTTTTACTAAAACTGGAGAATGGAACATCTGGTGCAGCTCTGCACAGAAACCAATCAGCTTCCAGGTTTTATTGCCAAGCTTAATTGAACAAGCTCCCATACACAGCTGCACCAGAAGTTGCACTCTCCAGTTTTAGTAAATCAACCCCATAAAGTCTTGTATGGTAAGTTTTTAAACTTTATTAGGAGACAAAATATGGGGTTAAAATGGTAACAAATGAATGCATTTCATTTTATTCTGATGGCATATGAGTAAAATAAAATGCTATAGGCCTGTTTTGCTGAAGATAATCCTGAGATGCATTTGTGAAACTTGGGAATTTAACCACAAGTGCTTATTTTGTGTCATTCATTCTTTCTATGAGTTCTTTCCATGCTTTGTGACCTATTGTAATGAGTATTATACTTGTCAGTAATTCATCTGACTCATCATGTATAACTGATGAAAGTGGAAGATTTACCCATAGCAACCAATCAGATTGTAGGGCTTGTTAATTTAGCGCTGACTAAATTCATCTGACAGTTTGGTGCGGGGAATACCACTGGCATTAGTTTTTATTTAATTCTACTTTTACTGTTCAAAATCTGCATGATCATGATGCCAGTATTGACTAAACATTAGCATGGAAAAGACAACATGTATTTTAAAGGCAACAAACCGTGACAGTCATAAACTAGATGCAAAATTTTAAACTTGGTTGTATGTTAAAAAGAGTCTATTAAAGCGAAACTAAACCAATCGACTTAATGGTCGAAAAAAAACAGGTCTCGTTCACACCATGGTGCAGAGACGGCAGTTCTACAAGGGCACATTGAAATCAGTTGTCCTCTATGTGCCCTGTTCACAGGACAGCACTAGTATCACATTAAGATTTTTTTGCGCAGGAATCTGCAACGTGTAAACAAACTAATTGAAGCGCGCATGAAAACTGATGTATCTGCAACTGAAATCTGTGCGTCAGTTTCCATCAGTTTTTCTGCACATATGGTGTGAACGAGGCCTTACATTCCCGGCAGATATTCCGTTGCCCCAATGACAACTTCCAATTGGATGAAACGCATCGGGTGGAGCTACAGCGGTGACGTCATCACGCCCGTCGTGGCGTTGATCGGGACAAACTGAGATTGTAATGCCAGTTTAACTTTTATACTTGTGAGTAGCTTTCTTAGCTCAATAAAAGTGGTGATTTTAATACTACATAATGAGAGAGCTTCTCCCTCCTGCTTGTCATTGATATAATCCTGAGTCGGTTTATCTTGCTGGATTGCTGGTATCCACATGAGGAGTTCTGCTTGATATGCCAGGAGGTTTTCATCTACCCATTTGGGCTTTTTTCCCTCTATGTGTAGCCAGACCTCCTTCTCTTTGAGGTCTGAGGATCTGGTAAACAGTTTGTGACTGTCGGTGTACACAAGTGGTGAAGAATTTGTCCATTAGTGGGAATATTTGGGCTGCTTTATTTGCACTGGATCTTCCATCCAGATTGTGAATTCAGCACTTTGTTTATAAATTTAGGTTATCTATTGCTTGCACATGCATTTTATATTTGTGAGCAGTGCAACACATTTTTGATAATATGCCGGGAAAGCTAACTGTCACTTCTGCTTGTGCTCTCAATTAATTTGTCAAACCATCTAATGTCTAGTGTCATAGCTAATCACATGTTCAACATCATGGCAGTTGCAGATCAAACGGAAGCTAAGATGGCAGCTTCTGTGGCTAAAAGGATAGGAGGGTTTAGTTCCACTTAACAGAAACTTTGTATGCCCCATCACTCAATTTTTATTTGGATTTTTGAGGTAGTGGATATGTTTTATAAAGAAAAAGGGTGCAGATTGGGGGTGTAGAAGGGCAAAGGGAGTAAGAAAGGGAGGGGTATAGGGGCACATCCTGCTGCCACAGGGAAATACCTTCCAGGTGGAATTCTATGAAACACCCAAAGATTGTCAGAAGAGACATCACTGCATTATGAGTTGAATTCTCTCTCCTTTTTTTAAATTAGCCACACTGAGCCATGTGCATTCAAAGTATAACTAACCTTTTTTGAATAGCATGGGGGGGGGGGGGGGGGGGAAAACACCTGTAAGGTTTCCACTGCTGTCTGTGCCCTTGTTAAAGGCTTGAATTAAAAAAAAAATACCCAAACATGTCCATACTTACCTGCTGTTTGCAGTGGTTTTGCACAGAGCAGCCCGGATCCTCCTCTACTCGGGTCCCCTGTCGGCGCTGCTGGCCCCTCCCTCCTGTCGGGTGGCCCCACAGCTCCCCAGCTGCTGCTCCGTGTGTCCATTCACACATGGAGCCATGGCTTGGCCCCTCCCCTTCTCTCATTGGCTCACTGGCTGTGATTGACAGCAGCTGGAGCCAATGGCTCCTGCTACTGTCTCAGCCAACAAGGAGAGGGAGTCCCGAAATAGCCAAGACTCCAGTGCATATTGCTGGATCGAGAGGGGGCTTAGGTGAGTATTATTGGGGCTGGGGGAGATGCTGCACAAAGAAGTTTTTTTTTTTTTTTTAACCTGAAACCTTGAGCCTTTACAACCACTTTAAGGAGATTCACCCTCTCTATTTGTTTTGTTTACATTATCAAAAAGAGTTGATCCCAAATTTTGGGTTGTCCCCAGAAAAGTAATAGAAGGGAAATCGTCCAATGGGGAAACTAGTTGTAGGGACCTTGGTGACAACCCGGGATTTCCTCACTTTGGAGGAATTTTGAATTGTTTCCTGTTTTGGCTATGGGACAAGAAGTGATGGGAAATCACCCTATGGGACACAGATTGCTAAAACCCCTTTACTTTATCCAAAATGAAAGAAAGGTTTTGCTTTTAGTCAGGGACGTCCCTAGGGTTATCACCCGGTGCGGTAACACTTGGTGACCCCCCCTCCGACGATCCCCACAGAATGGATCGGATCTGCGGATTGAGCATAATGGATTGGACTCCGCAGATCCTTCCTGCGGGGATAGTCGGCTTGCTTTACAACTTACTTTTTTGTGGAACGGGTCCGGTGTCACCGACGATACCGACGATCCCCGCAGGATGGATCGGATCTACGGATTCAGCATAATGGATTGGACTCCGATCCGTTATGCTCCCCAATCCGCAGATCCGATCCATCCTGCGGGGATCGTCGGCATCTAACCTATATGACACCGGACCCGTTCCACGAAAAGGTAAGTTGTAAAGCAAGCCAACGATCACCACAGGATGGATAGGATCTGCGGATTGGGGAGCATAACAGATCGGACTATGATCCATTATGCTCAATCCTCAGATCTGATCCATCCTGCAGGGATTGTCGGCTGGCTTTACAGCATACCTTTTCATGGAACGGGTCCGGTGTCCCCCATGCGGTAGGTGTTACCCGGTGTGTCGCGCACCCCCACACCTGCCTAGGGACGCCCCTGCTTTTAGTTCTACTTTAGTGGTACTGTATGTTCAAAAGTGGAGGGCCAAGGAGTGTGTGGTTTTCTGCTATTCTTACTCATTTCATGATTATTACTGAAATAATTTTGTTTTATAAAGCAGGAGGGCATTATTGACATCAAATACCAAGAGTTGTAGATGTAATAATGAAGCAGGGGTTTCTTGCCCTGACTTTGTTGGCTAACAGTAGATTTTTATCTCCGTGATGAACAGAGGTTACCACAGGACACACTGCATGTTGGGACAAATGTGAAGGCTAGGAATGCAGTTTTGTAGGATCGTTGTATCTCTGCCTAGCAGTGCAATCCTTTCCAACTCTTCTCCTTGTGTACTCAGAGTCACAATAGACTTCATTTCTGCATTCACAGCGGTAGCCAGTGAGGACAGTTCTGAAGGCCATTACTCCTTGCTCCAGTCCACTATGTAATGACTGAAAATCAGAGCAGTGACAGATCATAAATCAGTTTGCAGTTCCTTCTTTGTTATTTTTTGCAGTTTTCCATTTGTCTATACAGGAACTGTGAAAATGGTGCAGAACGAATGCTTTCTATACTTGGAGTTTTGCTTGTTAACCTTCTCCCAACCCTTCGCCTTTACGTGCCTAAAACGAAGTGTTCCTATATATAGTTTAGGGTCAGAGTTAGGTGCTGAATACCTTCATACCTTCATACCTTCAGGGGAATCTCTGTTGGGGGCTGTGTGTACAAGACTGCCGTACTTCTTCTGAGACTGATCTGCATACGTTGCCCACTTAACACGTGTGTGCGCAGAGTATGATATTGTATGCATAACCATGCCGTTAATTGCAAGTTTTTCCTGTTGTTTGCTAACCCAACAGTTTTCTGCATGAAAGTAACATTTGTTTCTGTCTCTGCATGCTTTGTTTATGTTACTAACCAGGGCCCATACTTGGTCCATGGGGAGCTGAGATCAGAAGGATCTGACCGGACAAGTATGTACGAAGGACAACTGCGCAGAGGCCAGTTGGGCTCCAGAGTCCTGTCCCGGCACGACACTCTGGAGTCGGAGACACAGGGCAGCCGGGATTCAGCATACACGGAACCAGGAGACTCCTGCATGGACATTGAGACTGATCCTTATGAGGACCCAGAGCCCAAAAGCCACGGGGGTAATTATCAAGGTGGCGAACATGGGCATCTGCAACGTCAAGCCTCCTGGGAGGAGCTGGGTCCAGATCAGGAGAACCTGCAGCAAAGGAGAAGAAGGGAGTCTCCTAGACCACAAGGAAAAAGCAGAGAGCAGTACTGGCATGAAGGCGAAGGCCGGAACAGGGTTCAACTGGACAGTTGGGGGAGAGACGTGTGCATCCGTTAATAAATGCTCATCACAACATTTGGAAGAAATGGTGAGGGTGTCGTACACCTCTGGCATAACTCACGTCTGTATACTGCCATCCTCCAAACACACACTGCTTTGACCAGCACAACTTTCCAAACACAACAGCATCACACATTTGTCATTCCTTCAAGTCTCAGCAATTTCTGCACACTTCTTACATTTATAATGAATACAACCATTTCTATTTTCTACTCCTGTGTCGCTCTTGCCAACAACTATTTGATTTTAATATCTGCGCTTCAGGGTTCTAATAGACACACTTGATGTCAGTTGCTGGCTTTACGATGAACAATGCCCGCCGAATGCAGCTGTGCACTGACACTGGCACTGCCTTGGGATGCTCACTGCCCCATGCCTAATACCAGGTCATAATCCTATGAATTGACGTGCGGAGCAGGATGATGAATCATATCTTTATTGGTGCAACCTGGTGCTGTAAAATATTTTTTACTTGGGGTAAATATGTTTCTATTGTGCCAGGGTGACCAGATATGTTTACATTCTTGAAGGGCAGTTTTTTTGAAAATCACAATAGATCTTTTCCTAAAGTCAAAAAGCAAAGTGTAGCAATCCATAGCAACAGATCAGCCAGCACCTTTTGTTGATCTAAGCCAATCAATGGTACAAATGTGGTTGCTATGGGTTACCCTACCCCTTGCTCTTTGCACTGCCTTATTACATTAAATCAGTAGCCAAACATGTAAAAGGAACGGGACCTCACGTTTTTTAACATTTTCATTTGATTAGGTATAAAAGTCACATCAGAAGTGAACTTTTAAATTATGTATATGTGCTAATGTTGCACTAAGATGCAATTTGCATCATTTCTGTAGCAGCCAATGAGGCAAGTGCAATCCTTGTCAAGCTGTGACCTTATATAAGACCAATATCTATATGATGTTGCAAAGATGACAGCCGTGCAGGTGCCTGGCCCCGAATGAAGATAGCATGCGTTCAGAGCCATGCACCCACATGGTTGTCCCAATTCCCAATTGACATGAATGGGACTGCTTGCACAGGGATGTACACAATACCTATGCATCCCCGTGTGGGCAAACATGTCCTCGCACGGACGTACAACAAGGCCTTAGGCTGGCCATACATTATACAATTTTCTTGAGAATTTTGCTTTAGATTTACCAAAAACCATATAATATGAGGTCAAACCTAGATGACACTTCCAATTAGGTAGGCCCTTGTACTACAAGGTAAATCTAAAGGAAATTGTAAGAAAATTGTATAGTGTATGGCTAGCCTTAGAAAGCATGTATTATAAACTGACCACGCATTTCTATACAGTATCCTTTTGATTAACCATCAGTTATGTAACGCAAATGCCTTCCTAAATACTCCATTCTATTTATATACAATCAGGTGGGTCTTTGCACTACGTAGCTCTTGGCCAATCTAAAGAAGATGGTACAATCAGATTGCAGTGTTTGGCCAGTTATAGTCTCTGCGTGATATTCAGCACTTGCAGACATCAGATGTCTTGTTGGACTGGACAAAAGATCATCTTGTATTTGGCCATGCACATTTGCACTAAAGTGGTAAAAATTCATTGGTTATGCCTTTTGTAGTAGTATCAGTGATCTTTGGAAAGCTCGATCTCACCCTCGGCAAAGCTTCATGCTTCCATTCCGCAGCACCCCTACTATACTGTATGAGTTCTAACACCCACTTCATAACATAAGTACTGCCATCTCATGAATCACACCAACACTGCCTTCTGATACCCTCACTGCACTAACACTGCCTTCCACCCCCAGCCCTGACAATTGTATCTGACCTCGTCCCTCCACCATGTAGAAAGCAACGTCCTTCTTAGCCCTTTATTGTCTGGCATCTCATTGCACTGACTCTTCTACTCCCAGCTGTAGACGGGGAGTAAGTTTTGCACATCCTCCAACCTTTTGGACTCTCAGTGGCTTCTGTACCTCTACTGGAATGTACAGTCAGGTCTATCCAGCCTAATGTGGAGGTAAATAGAGGGACTTTGAGTTGTTTGTGGGGTGGGTGGGGGGAGAGGACATCACACACCATGTGCCATAAATGTGTTTTTTTTTTTTTTGGGGAGGCAAGAGATCATAAACCGAATGTATTTAACTTCCTCGATTGCTGAGGGTCTACAACAACACTATGTGCTGAACAATGGACCACCAAGCTCAAGCCTAAATGGTAACTCTACCTTGTTCTCTTGTCAAGCCAAGATGTAAATCATAATCAAATGCCTGTATAAGTTGTGCCTGCATCTAGTTATATATTTGCCTGCAGCTTTTATTTGTCATGTTCCTTTATTTAAATTTCTAAAAGACTATTTCCCCCCAAAAGGAATCCTTTTTTTCCTCTTTTCATATTTCTGTGACAACCCTGGAATATTGTTTCTTATGTGGTCTTGTACTTTGATGGGTAGTGTCCAGTACCCCAGTGTGGCACAACTGCGCTGGGGCTTCTCTCAATGCTTTATATGTAGTCAACACTGATATGTTCAGCTGTACACATCGCATCATTTCAGTGTCCATATCACAAAGAGGATGCACATTTCCTTTGGCTGGCCGTACACTACACAAGTTTCTGACCAATTTCTGCCCAATTTCCTTTAGATTTATCTTCAACTATGTAGTGCAAGGGCCTGTCTAACTGGATACAATTGAAAGTGTTGTTCACGTTTAACCTCCTATTATATGGTTTTTGGTAAATCTAAAGGAAAAATCTCAAGAAAATTGTATAATGTATGGCCAGCCTTAGGCTAGCCATACATTATACAATTTTCCTGAGATTTTTGCTTTAGATTTACCAAAAACCATATAATATGAAGTCAAACCTAAACAACACTTTCACTTGTATCTAATTAGGCAGGCCCTTGCACTACAGTGGAAGGTAAATCTAAAGGAAATTGGGCAGAAAATTGTATAGTGTATGGCCAGCCCTAAGCTGGCCATACATTATACAATTTTCTTGAGAATTTTGCTTTAGATTTACCAAAAACCATATAATAGGAGGTCAAACCTAAACAACACTTTCAATTGTATCCAATTAGGAGGGCCCTTGTGCTACATAGTTGAAGGTAAATCTAAAGGAAATGGGGCAGAAATTGGACAGAAAATTGTAAGAAAATTGTATAGTGTATGGCCAGCCTTAGGCTGGCCATACATTATACAAGTTTCTTGAGAATTTTGCTTTAGATTTACCAAAAAAAATACAATATGAGGTCAAACCTAAACAACACTTTCAATTGTATCCAGTTAGACAGGCCCTTGCACTACATAGTTGAAGGTAAATCTAAAGGAAATTGGACAGAAAATTGTATGGCTAGCCTTAGGCTGGCCATACATTATTCAATTATCTGGAGATTTTTGGTTTTAATTTTACCAAAATCCATATAATAGGAGGACAAACCTAAACAACACTTTCAGTTGTATCCAATTAGACAGGCCCTTGCACTACGCAGTTGAAGGTAAATCTAAAGGAAATTGGGCAGAAAATTGGAAGATAATTGTATAATGTATGGCCAGCCTTAGTGCCAAAAGTGCTAAATATGAATTTGCTTTGGCTGGCCATACACTATACAGTTTTCTGCTCAATTTCCTTTAGATTTACCTCCGCACAACTCCGCTGGGGCTTCTCTCAATGCTTTATATGTAGTCAACACTGATATGTTCAGCTGTACACATCGCATCATTTCAGTGTCCATATCACAAAGAGAATGCACATTTCCTTTGGCTGGCCATACACTACACAATTTTCTGACCAATTTCTGCGCAATTTCCTTTAGATTTATCTTCAACTATGTAGTGCAAGGGCCTGCCCAATTGGATACAACTGAAAGTGTTGTTAGGTTTGACCTCGTGTTACATGTTTTTTGGTAAATTTTTAAAGCAAAATTCTCAAGAAAATTGTATAATGTATGGCCAGCCTTCGTCTAGAAAATGGTTGCCCCTGGGAATTCATATACTGTATATTTTATACACTTTGTATTTCACATACTCTGCATTTGTTCCATATAGTTTAATATGACAGCATTGTTTAAAGTGTTATATAAATTCCATCCAATTAGATTTCATCTTTCACTGATCTCACCTCAGTAATGCAACACCTGATTAGACACAGCCGGTTACTGCACTTTAAACATTGAGGTTGCTCTTAGAATTACCTTAAAGCAGAACTCCGTGTAATTTCTTTTTTTCCTCCCATGCAGTGGGGCTGTGCCTGCACTGCATGGGTTAACTGCTCGTTTTGTCCAGGGGGCCCCCGAATAGCTATACTTAACTGGTCCTTCAAACCTCCCAAAAAGCGCGCTCCCTAACGTCCAGCGGTGGGCTGTTCCTACCATCCTCACACCTGGAGCTGATCTATGGGCATGATGACGTCAGTAACAGTCCATTCACAAGACCACTAGTGTGCAGGGGGGCAGAAGCCCGGTCTTGGGCTCGGAGGATTGGTGAATTAGGTAAGTATATCTTTGCTCTTATCACCCCTAGACACAAATGAACAGTTAGCCCATGCAGTGCGGGCACAGCCTCTGCATAGTACAAACATTTTTTTGCCCGGAATTCTGCTTTAATTAAATAACCCAAGCGTGGTCCGAAAAACATTAATGTGCTGGTTTCTATAGCTACAAACTAGTAGCGGTTAAAGCTGAACTGCAGTCAGGCAAGCAAAAATATTATTATTATTATACAGTATTTATAAAGCGCCAATAGTTCGCTCAGCGCTGTACATTACAAAGGGGACAGAACATGTGACAGAACAATACCAATACAATGCAAACATGAGGGGACTGAGGGCCCTGCTCTTTCGAGCTTACAATCTAGGAGGGAGGGGATGGTGGCACAGGAGGAGATAGCTGTGGGGGATGGGGTGGTAGGAAGAGTGGAGGAGGTTGGCAAGTTAGCAGGGGGTGGGGTAGGCTTCCCTGAAGAGATGGGTTTTCAGGGTGCGCCTAAAGGAGAGGAGAGTAGGTGATAATCTGATGG